TGTAGTCCACGAAAGCTTATGCTCTAATAAATTTGTTAGTCTTTAAGGTGCCACAAGTACTCCTGTTCTTTTTGCGGATACAGACTAACACGGCTGCTACTCTGAAATCAATGCCTTTAAAAATCTGCCTCTTAAGCCCCAGTTCAATTGCCCAGCAAAGGACAAACCTTCTGCCCAGCAGGAGTCGCTCAGCTGGCCACGAGGGGGTCTACGCCAGGGAAAGCGGGAAGACCTCCTCTTCCCCAACGCCAGATTCTCACTTGGTTTGGGAATGCACCAGAGGCCCTTGCATAGCAGCAAATCCTCTGGCCCAATGCAGGGGACTCTGCTCCCTCTGAAACCCTGCTCAGCTGGCCAAATGCACAGCAGAAATGCATCAGTTCTGCTACCCAGGCTGCAAAGAGAAATGCAGGATTTCCTCTAAGGTCCTATGGGAGGCTGCTTCCAGGGGTATGAAGGGCAGGCCCTCTGCCCGGAGGGGAATTTTGCCCATTGCACATATTGAAGGTGCAGTAACCTGGACTCACTTAGACTGTGGATGAGGTGGGAAGTAGGTACCTGTATATGGAACTGACTGTAAATTGTCCCCTGATATAAACACCTTCCACAGGCTGCTACAGAGCTGCACGTCTTACATATCAAATGGGAAGACTAGGCCAATTGAGGAGATGCCAGGGTCAAGACACACACGTTAGTGCCTGGGATTGGAGATGACCCAGAGCATATTAAACCAATGGGACAGTGCCTATCAGGCCATCAAAGCAGAAAATACAGCGGTGTATGAGACAGACATTTTCATGGGAAGAAACATCAAGGGGTTGAGAGAGAAAGCAGGAAGGTGGAGGTGAGACAAGCTTAAGGGTCTCTGACAAGCAGTCTAGGCCCAAAATGTGACCTCCCTCACTCAAGAGACAGCCAGATCTCCATGGCTGAGAAATGACAACTACAGGACAAACCACCCCTCAAACCTCCATCAGTGAGAAAAGAGGAGAGGTCTGTTTATTCTCTTCCTAATTATTGACACACTCAAAGACATGTGGCTTGTTACTGTGCTTGGAGTGAACATGCAACTAACGCTCATGACCCGTCCACACCTGCCAACTAACCCTTCCCATAAGGGGGTCTTGGAGACAGTCAGCTCCCAGTGACTCCAGATTTAAAAGGAGTTATTCTAATTGACATAAGTATCATTGAGATCGGAATCTGGCTCGATTAATATAAATATTTCTAATTAAGTTTTTAACAGATGAAATTGCTAGCAACAGCTAACCCGGGGGTAAAGTCATTATGGGTAGAGGACTATCCTCACACAGCACTGATTTTCTTGTTTTGCTCCTCCAACCATCCCAAACTAGCCTCTCTCTTCTTTTTCCCAACAGGGAATTCCGAACTAAATTCCGGTCACTAGTCTTGCATCAGAACGGCCAGACTGGGTCAGACCAAAGGTCCATCCAGCCCAGTATCCTGTCTTCCGACAGTGGCCAATGCCAGGTGCCCCAGAGGGAGTGAACAGAGCAGGGAATCATCAAGTGATTCATCCCCTGTCGCCCATTCCCAGTTTCTGGCAGTCAGAGGCTTACGGACACCCCGAGCAATCCCGCTTGTCAGTGCCGTTTGTTGGACAAGTAGCTTTTTTACTCCCCAGTGAATTTTAACGCCTTCATAGAAGACACTGTGAATGGGATTTTCAAATGCACTTGGTATTGGCTTAACTCTGCTTTCATTTTCGTCAACAGGAGTTTTCCCAGTGCTGTCAATGGGAGGGAAGTTAGGTCAATGCGGAGCTCTTTTCAAAAGCTAACCCTGGCGCTCTACTATTTATAACGTGCCACGGCTATATTTGAGGAAACACGGCTAATGCTGCGCTTTGTCCTTGTTCTTTGGATACATTTCTTATTGTTGCAATCAAGGGTTCGTCTTCACTACCCGCCGTATCGGCGGGTCGCAATCGATTTATCCGGGATCGACATATCGCGTCTCGTTAAGACACGATATATTGATCCCCGAATGCGCTCACCGTCGACTCCGGAACTCCACAAGAGCGAGCGACGGTAGCGCAGTCGACGGGGGAGCCGCGGCCATCGATCCCGTGCCGTCTGGACCCCAGCTAATTCGATCCAAGATACTTCGACCACAGCTACGCTATTCGTGTAGCTGAAGTTGCGTATCTTGGATCGATCCCACCCCCCCCCCCCCCAGTGTAGACCAGCCCGACGAGAAATAATATAGTGAGTTACCAGTGCTTGATAAAAGCATCTTAAACAGGTAAACACTAGAACGGGTTGAAATTGGGGGAACTCACCATTTGATGAAGTGAATTCTCTTGTTTCCCTGCAGAACAACAAAACCAAAGGGAGTGAAGGCCAAAAATGCCGCATTTCCTGACACATCCTGGAACACAATAAGATCGCATCAAAACGTTGCAGCGCGGCAAAGTTTACACATCAATAGCAACACTCAGTCCTGAATAAGGTGGTGGTAATGAATCTTCCCTCTTAAATTATGCCAACAGAACAGTCCTGACAGCTTTATTTAGACCGTGACATCCTGCCTATAGACAGGAATCTGCAGGAGCACAAAAAACATGACTGGTCCAGCAGAATTTGTGAGCAGAAAATACAATACAACTCCCAGACCTGTGGGACTATTGATTTACTGTGTAGCGCTAACCAATGAAGAAAGCTCCCACATATCACCGATTGACTTTCATTAGTAAACTTGAAAACCTTCAATTGTTGGTGGCGCAGATCTGAGCAGCACGTACAACAGGCCCAGCTGAGAAGCATCAAGACACTTTTAAAAGCAATAAATAGTGTCATGGACAGTGCGAGTCAGCAGTTTAATGGAATCATAATGTTTAGGCTCTAGTGAAGGTAACATTAATTGTCTTGGCTCTTGTAGAAAAAAACATGTGTCAGCTTTTTAAAATATGATGGACAACAGTAGGCGCTGTGTAGGTCAGACTGAAGGTTTATTTCTTTTATAAATTGGATTTTCAACCCACGACCTAACCTAAGTTCTCTCTAAGTTGTGCGGCCGCACAGCAGGCTATTAAAGGCCGTGCAGATGGGAGAGGTGCCTTTCCGTGTTTCGGCAGCTCTGGCGGGGCCGGGGGAGAGGCACCTCTCCCGTCTTTCCCAGCCCCAGGCTGCTGCAGTGAGAGGGCTGGGGGGAGTCCTCCCTCCCCATCGCAGCCCTGGGGCAGCCTGCACCCCAAACCACTCATCCCCAGCCCCACCCCAGAGCCCTCACCTCCCCCCCCCCACCTCAACCCTCTGCCCTAGCCAGGAGCCCACTCCTGCACCCCAAATCCCCATTCCCAGCCCCATCCCACGAGCCCTCACCCCCCTGCACCTCAACCCTCTGCTCTAGCCCAAAGCCCCCTCCCACACTCCGAACCCTTCGGCCCCACCCCCGCTCACACATCACCTCCATATTGGTGCACATGACACAATTCATTCCGCACAGGGATGTAAAGAGTCGAAGGGAACATTGGCCCTAACTTCTTTAACAAGACCCTGATCTGACTGTGATTTTGTAGGCCGCACGTCACCTCAAGGTACCGTTTTGCTGGGAAGTTTGGTAAAAATCAGACAGTTTTAAAATGGGTGTTCTAGAATGTTCTGAAAATGTGGCTCTAGTTTACTTCTTCGCTGTTCTTTGAACACATTCCTTGGTTCAAAGCCATACGACGTGGCCTTAATGGAAGGCAGAATCTAACCCACTGAGGTGTTTCTGCCTGCATACAACAGACGGACCGAATGATCAGCATGCAAAATGTTCCCTATATGTTTCCTCATCCAGCAACGATCATAGTATGAACTACCTCGTCGTCTATCATTCATGATAATTAAGGCTGCGATTTAGTCACGGAAGTCATGGAATCCAGGACTTCCAAACACCTCAGTGACTTCAGCCAGCACTGGCTGGGAGCTGCAGGGTACCCCTGCCACCCCAGGGGGTGGGAGCACCCCACAGCTCCTGGCCACCGCGGGCAGCAAAGAGGATCCCCGCATCTACCATCCACCACGGACAGCAGGGGGACACCCCCCCCCGTAGCTCCTGCTCCTCCTGGCCGCCACAGGTGGCAGGGGTGATCCCCACAGCTCCCGGCTGCCACAGGTGGCAGGGGGGACCCCCTCAGCTTGGAGCCGCCAGCGGAGGGTGATCCTGAAGCTCCCAGCCCCCCTGCAGCTGCCCAGGCCCCCCTTTTTATCACAGATATTTTTAGTAAAAGTCAGGGACAGGTCATGGGCTTCCGTGAATTTTTCATTATTGCCCGTGACCTGTCCGTGACTGGTACTAAAAGTATCTGTGACAAAATCTTAGCTTTTGTTGTTTAGGCTGCTAGTATGGGATAGAAATGGAGGGATTAGAGATGGCAGGTTAGCAGAGTGAAATACTGAGAGCAGGAATCTGGGGAAAGGGGGTTTGTGGAGGAGTTTAAAGGATCGAAATTTCTGATGATCTGTGTGAATTATAGACAGTCCTGATGTTACTGACACATTGAAATTCCTCATAATACTGTAAGCAGAGTCAGGATGAGCTCTACCCTGACATCTGGTGGTGAATTATGGCGAGTGTGGAAAAGAACTCCAGGGGCTGATCTTGTTTGCATAGGCACACCCACCCGCCTGGCATGAGACAACAGCAACTGATAGTGGGTTCTTTGGATGGGGTGGGATCCCCAGTTTCTCTGTTATTGGGGCAGGAGGAATAAAGTGTTGTTACCCTGATTATGTGAATCAAGGACAATGAAACTGTTTTATGACAGAGGATCTCACCATCACCTAAGTAGCACTCGCTAGACAAGGGACATGGGTTCCACAACCCAGTGACTTGAGAGAGAATGGAGATAGGTATTTGTACCTGATGATATGGGCCCCTTTTGAGGGCTTGAAACACCAATTGCACCATCTCCTCTCTCCACTGTTGAATGTCAGAGCTAACTTTGATCCCATTCGGAGTCTAGTTACAGGCTACTGAGCTGAATTCACTTTGGGCCAATGGTGCACCAGCACTGGGGTTCCCCTACTATGAGCTGAAATCACAAAAGAGCTAGTTACTGAGATCACTGAGTGCTGTGTTAACTAGTGGGGGGGCCTGAAGCTATATTGCTAAGGGGCTGGCGGTGCAGTTTCCAGAGATGGCTGGAGGAGCGGCGTGGAGTCTTGCGGGGACGGTTGGAGTGACCCAAGGAATGGCAAGCGGAGCTCTTTGTGGGGACGGCAGGAGTGGCTCGCAGGTCGGTGAGCGGAGCGGCTTGTAGAGCAGAGCAGTTTGTGGGACGGCAGGAAGGGGACTGGCTTGTGGTGAAGGCTGTGGCAGAACCCCACGGAGAGATGGCCCGCGTACCCCCCTTTTACTCTGGGGCTGCACTGACCAGGGACAGAGACTTCTGGGGTTTGTTGGACTTTTGGGATTTTGGGTGGTTGCTGGACCCAAGAGACTTTGGGGGTGTTGGACTTTGGGGACTCTAGGTGATCTTTGGGTTGCTGGATTCAAGAACTAAGGGGAAAGGACACGGCTCAATTTGCTGAGGGTCTTTTGCTCATGGTTTGTGGTAGGAATCCTGTTTGTGGTGTGTGTTTTTTCTATTTATTGCTGATGTCGTTTACCTCATGTTATTAAACATTTTCTGCTACACTCAGACTCTGTGCTTGCGAGAGGGGAAGTATTGCCTCTTAGAGGCGCCCAGGAGGTGGTATGTAATTGTCACTGGGTGGGGGCTCGAGCCGGTTTTGCACTGCGTTATTGAAACGGAACCCCTAGCTACAGAACCCGGCCCTTGTTGCTGCCAATTTAGATGGGCAGAAGGGTTACAATACTGCTGTCACCGTGCGAATGCTGTGACGAACAAGGAGCCGCCCTGTACATGTCTGAGCGCTGTGTGTTGGCCTGGCTATCGGGACAGGGTTTGCTGTATGAATACATTGGGGGGTCTGTCTGGACACAGGCAGGAAGGAGATGAATGGCTCCAGATAGCCACCTAATAATGGCCAGAACTATTTGCTTTGATGGCTCTGTCTCCACCTCTGGCTCAGCCAGAGATTACCAAGGCCCTGCAAACACAGGAGAACAAAGAACCCGGGTGGGTTTTAAAAGGAGCACTCTCTCAGGGAGATAAAGAGAGCTAGGAGGGAACCAGGCTCGGTCGCTGGTGCCCACTGAGGGAGTGGGGTGTGTGTGTGGAAACACGAGGCCTGCTAGGTCGCCATCATGGGATAGGGAGACTCTAGGTAATAGACGGTTTGTGATTTTAAAAGCCTGTCATCTTTAATGCTTTGTTCCTGCTTTAAATAAACAATACCTTGGTTTTAAGGGGTGGTTTTGGGACTCTGTGTATCACTGGTCACAGACCCCTGAGAGGAAGAACTGCAGGTGCCCAAACCCCGTCAGCCCTGTAGGGTAAGGCAGTTGTATAGGTGGGATGTAGTACCTAGGCCCTGGTCAAGGAGTGGGAGAATTGCAGAAGTGCACCTCAAGCCAAGAGAGGCCATAAGGCCTGAAGGGCTGCACTCAGAGACCGCAGAAAGGGGACACAGGCACTGGTTTATTGTGGAGTCATGCCACAGCTAAGGCTGTAGTCAGCTCCCCACCAGCCCAGCACAGGACCCAGAGGAGAGAAGTAGCCAAAAGCAACCTTTGCCCTCCCCCAAACAACAGGGCTGGTTCGTGGCAAATCCAGCAGCTGGGGACTGCCGCAATGCCAGGGTTCCCTATCCCATCACTCTAACTGACAAGCACGCACATAAGTAATCAGACAAACCCATCACACATATGGAATTGCAGAACTACTAACTGTGGTATGTGACCTATTGCTTAAACCAGCCTCTGTACCAGATGACTGGAGGCAGGTAATATGATGCCAGTTTTTAAAAAGGGCTCAAGAGGCGATCCTGGCAATTACACACTAGTAAGCCTAACTTCAGTACCAGGCAAACTGATTGAAAATATAGTAAAGGACAGTATTATCAGACTCATAGATGAACATGATTTGTTGGGGGAAGAGTCAACAGGGCTTTTGTAAAGGGAAATCATGCCTTACTAATCTACTAGAATTCCTTGAGAGTGTCCACAACCACGTGAACAAGAGTGATCCAGTCAATACAGTGTACTTGGACTTTCAGAAAGCCTTTGACAAGGTCCCATACCAAAGACTCTTGAGCAAAGAGTCATGGGCTAAGAGGGAAGCTTCTCTCATGGATCAGTAGCAAAGGGTAGGAATAAATGGCTAGTTTTCACAGTGGAGAGAGGTAAATAACGGAGTCTCCCAAGGATCTGGGACCAGGGCTGTTCAGTATGCTCATAAACAATCTGGAAAAAGGGGTGAACAGTGAAGTGGCCAAGTACAAAATTACCGAGATAATTAGGGATGTAACCGCATGATGTGGATGTCCCTAAACCTCTGACTGCCGGATGCTTGGACTGAATGACAAGAGATGGATCACTTGATAATTGCCCTGTTCTGTTCATTCCCTCTGACGCACCTGGCACTGGCCACCGTCGGAAGACAGGACACTGGGCTAGATGGACCATTCTTATGTTCTTAGAGATCTTGCAAAACTGCATTACTGGGCAACAAAATGGTGGAAGAAATTCATTGTTGATAAGTGT